TCCCATTGGAACCCACTTATAGTAGTAGCCAATGACTGAAGGGAATAGAATATGTATATCACCACATACATTACAGAAAGGGTATTGTTTAGAGTGCTTTAAGGGAAAGGGAGGTTCCAGTATGTCCAAAGTGACATGTGGACCGTAGATGATGTTGTATTTTTTGAAATATAGCGTGGCCTTTAACTTCACAGCTGGATGGCTATCCAAATCTCTTGGCTTTCAGCTGTTGTGCTCTCTTGTTTTTTAGGGCCATGTTATCATGAAAGTGACCAAAGCTTCAAGGTTTTGTTAACTTCGACAACCATATAAGCCGATATTTTATAGAATATACAGTGGTGCAGGAACTAATGATGGAATATGACCCTAAACAAACTTCTATCAATCCTCTTGCCCACCCAAACTTTCAAAAATTAATTTTGAGTCGAAAACAATGATTCGATCCAGATAAGTCAGACCCATAAAAGATACGGATAAATTGGTAAAATACTTTCTACCGGCTACCCAAATAAATCCCAAACAACATAGGCGGTGCGGTTAGTATTTCTCCTTTGGTGAGATGTTGCCCACCTGATTGTTTAGGGTTTAGTTAGGTTTCTAGAATGGTTACGGTAGTTACCAAATGAAAAGTATGTGTGAATGGAATATCAATATCATCTGCTTGTAAGTTTATTATGCATGCGGATAAAGGCATGTAACTAAATTGTTTGGAGTTCATTTTGCTTTATCAAGGAGGGAGTATTTTCAATACATTGCATGAGAAACTTAAAATGTGTGGTCCATCTGATCAGTCCCCCCCTCCCCTTTAGTTAATTACTTGCCCACCTATTCCTAATGATTCATGTCATGAGGCATTTAATTTCACTTAAATTTTAGTAATAACTGCAAAGATGAAGGTCACATAGCGATTTGAGATTGCAACACGTTATAAATATTTAATTACTTGTCTTATAAACAGTTGCTGTGGTGTAGTGGTTATCACGTCAGTCTTACACACTGAAGGTCTCCAATTCGATCCTGGGCAGTAGCATTTGTTTTAAGTACGGATTCTAAGTATTTTCTCATACAGACCGTAAAACGGAAATGGTATCCCAGGTTAGGAAGTTGGACAATTTAGAACACAGTATAGGCCATACAGAATATATAGCTATTTCACATAAGATTAAGCAATCTATAAGAACACTTCCAATTTCAAGGTCTCAGTACGTTCTCTTTCTATGATATGATATGATTGCTGAACTGATCCAGACATGGTGTTGAGAAGAGAAGTGCCTTCTCTTTCTATGCTCCACTACTTTACAGACAAATATTTGACACAGGAATGTTTAATTCTTTCAGACTTTTTATTTCCTTTTTCATGTTTTTGTAGAATCTTTCCAAGAATCATAGTAACATAGCTGTTAACATTTGAGAACAAAAAGTTCACATTCCTTCAAGTCTCGGTGTAAGTTACTTGTCCGGGAAAGGTACCAACAGCAAAATTTTGTGAAAAACCAAGGTAAAGAATGATTTTCACTGACTAGCTGCAAGAAAAAGAGACTACTACGTTTACAATTAATGTTATGATCAGGTTCGGATGCTCACATAACTAGACTTATGCTGCTTGCCCATTTCAGAGAGGAACTTGTCTTCAGTTAGCGTAAACATTAATTCTGACTCGGGCAGTAACTTCAGGGTGGAGCTTCAGCTCTGCTATATATTCTCCTGTTTCCCTGATCTCTGGAAGAGAAACAACTCTCTTGTCCACATCCCTACAGATCCAACACAAGAGTAGTTGAGAAATTAAGCAACCATGGCTAAGGATGAAGGTGAATCCGACATCTGCAAATCTTTAAATATCAATCCATATCCTCCGATTTAAATAGCAATATTCGTTGAATATTTGAATAACAAAACAGAAACCACTAAGGATAGTAAATAAAATATCTCAATCTGCGAAAATTGGATATGAGAATGCATAATTGGAACGCTACTCATCCAGCTATAAATACATACAGAATCCTTGGTTAACATCATTATTAAAGGGGTGATACCAGAACTTACAGAATATCACAATTCACTAACAAAACGCAAATGAATCATGATTACATAATTGTTGACAGAATCAAACTAAATAGAAGCATCAGTCTGTCAGCTTCATTTGTTCGCTGAACTGCAGATGCAGATTGCATATTTGCATTAAGAACGACAGTGGGGCTATACATAATCTAAGGCAAAAGACTTGAATTCTTATTTAATGCAAATTCATTTCATGAATAATTGCAGAGGTATGATGCTTGTTAACAACTAAATCCCACATTTTGATTAGTACCTTTGAAGTTTTGCCTTGATAATGTTACAAGATCTTGTGAAGTAACACTGAAAAAAAAATTCCTTTTCCACCTTTTCGCTTCACCTTAAAAGCCCAACAGTTTCATGAGAGCAAGTTGTTGTGCCTCTTTTTACCTGGAGTAAAACAAGATCGTCTAACAAGTCTGAGTTCACGTGCATGGATATAACATATTACCCTGGTAAACCACAACAGCAAGCTGGGAAACAGCCATAAAACCAGGGAAAGGCATTGGCATAATTTCTTCATTGTATACCTGCTTGGAGCAAATGGATCTAGTGTTCGATTAAACTGAACGCTAAACACCATAATGAAGTACTTTCCATATTACTCCATACCATCAGAGGAGACACATACAGAAACACGAACAACCTATGACAGTTTCACTTCGATAAAGGAAGATTCAATATGGCAAACTTTCTTCCAACTTCAAATCATTCATATGTTCAGTGGCCAAATAGGAATAGATGACCACAATGATATCTGATAACATCGAAAATCCAAAACATGAGTCACTGAATTTACCCGTTGCTTCTCTGCTTCTACTTTCCTCCTCCATTTTCATTTCCCTGCGCCGGGGGGGAGGGGAGCCGTTAATTGTTTCCCCAATCATGTATGTTTATAAGTTTACTTCAAAATCAATGTAGATTAATCCTTCTATTTCTTAATCGAACTATTGTAAAATCAAGAAAAGGCAATACAAATTCAAAATAAAATTGAATGCTACTTCCGTAGCATCGTTTGGGTCTCCCAAGGCTGTGAAGCCATGAGAGTGTAGATGATGCTGTGACTGTAGCGCTTGTCATTGCCGCCCGCCTAGAAAATGCTTGGTCTCTTTTATCTTTGTTCTGTACCTCTGTAGTCTTATCCGTTATGCATTTGAATGTCAGTATTGGCAACCGTTTTGTATGTCATTTGGTCGTTTGAAATAATCTGGTAAATATAAATTTCTTGTGGTTATTATTATATTATCTTATTCCAATGGGTTATTAGCATTCTTTTTACTTATAATAATTTAGTTTGATTGAATTCTTACAAATTTTTGAAAGCTTATCGTTAAAGCTTCAAATCCATTTGTTTCTAAAAAAATTCTCGATTTTAGGATTTTCAGTATGTTTTATTTATTCAAGAAAAATCGTATGACTTAGTAACGCTAACAACTCATGGAAAAGAAATAATTCGTTCAGTGTATTGATAATAAATTGAATTTTTTAAATAAAAAAACAATAAATAGATTAAAACCTTTTAATTTAAAATGATTAGGATTTATTAATGGAAAATAGAATCTGATAATAAACTCGATTACGTGACTCTAATATATAAAAATATTATATAAATCTTCTTCACCATATTATCCGTAGTTCAGTCATAAGAAAATCACCATTTTATTTATTTTCTCCACTTTACCGTGATGCAAATTAATATACATGTAATTCAGGGTCAACACTTTTTATTCTAATCTCGTTAAAATTTTTGTGTTATTAATGTATGTGTCTATCCTTGATTTTTTTTTAAATCAATTACTATTTCAGGGTCAACACTTTTTATTCTTACCAACAATTAAAGATATACTATTTCAGGGTCAACACTTTTTATTCTTACCACAATTAAAGATAATCCTAAATAATGTTTTAGATATATTATAGTTATCATTAATTTTGTAAGTAAAAGGAAGGATTGAATTTCAATGGTAACTTGGAAATGTATGATTGGTTGTCATAATTTAGAATTTCAACACCCAACACACTTGACCCGCGAAAACGCTGGAAAATTTGGAAATGAAACAAAACCCCGCTTAAATTTTTTAAGTTCGACGACGAAAAAATCCTCTTAAATCCAACGGTTCCTATTTCACACGTCGATCCTTGCAAATCAATCCCCCCATCAGATCTCGTCCTTTGCCCTTTATATAATGAATTCACATACTACTTCTTCATTAATCACATTCAATACCAAAATATTATTGTGTTTTCTTTGTTGGAAGTCTCATTTCTCTGGAGTCAATTTCCTAAATGGCACCAAAAGCAAGAAAGAAGCCCGCCGAGAAGAAGCCAGCAGAAGAAAAAGGCCGAAAAGGCTCCGGCAGAGAAAAAGCCTAGAGCCGAGAAGAAACTCCCCAAGGAAGCCGGTGACAAGAAGAAGAAGCGATCCAAGAAGAGCGTTGAAACCTACAAGATCTACATCTTCAAGGTTCTGAAGCAAGTTCACCCTGATATCGGGATTTCGAGCAAGGCAATGGGGATAATGAACAGTTTCATCAACGACATTTTCGAGAAGCTTGCTCAGGAATCTTCGAGGCTAGCTCGTTACAATAAGAAGCCGACTATACGTCGGGAGATTCAAACGGCTGTGAGGTTGGTTCTGCCGGGGAGTTGGCCAAGCACGCTGTTTCTGAAGGGACTAAGGCTGTTACCAAGTTTACTAGTTCTTAAAGGTTTCTTTGTATAATTAGTAGCACTTAAGGTTTATTCTTCCATGGTGTTTCTCTATTTCCAGATCTTAAATTGAAATATAAAAATATCGGATTTATCAGCTGTTTATGCCCTTTTCTGCATTCTTCTCATTAAAGCATATAGAAGATTTCTTCAAGAGAAACTAAGGTTGGACTTTAGTTTGAATTCCTTGGTTTTGAAATGCTATTTTTTTTTTAATTTTGGGTTAGATGTTTTTCCCTACAGAAATAATTAAAAAATACCGACAGTTTTGTACAAAATTTTGTTAGCGGAGTCGAGGCAAATCCTGCACTTGTCAGATGTTAGTTCCGCTGTTTGGCTTCCATGGTCATTATCTCTCGTGATTCTTATCAAGCTCCGTTCTCAGGGCAGCTTCATCGGCCTTCAAACATGTAATGATCTTCTCCAAGCTATTGTGGTCCTTGCGTGCTTTGATACCAAAGTAGCCTTGAACAAGCAATTTCAAATATTCATGGCAAAGCCGACATCAAAATCACAGCGTTTAGCATCCATGATAGGGTCTCTCAACCTCCATATAATCTCTTCTGTAACTCGATCAAGCGTCAGATCTCCCATCTCCTTGATCGCAGCGCAAAGCAAAACAAATATTGTGTGAACGGTGATGCCACTCAATTTACAATTTTTCTTGATATCACCATAGACGTCGAAAACAGAACGAGCGGTGTGACCAGAGCTGATGGGATTTTGCAGTTGCTGACATTTTCCCAAGCGCCGTTAATAAATCTTTGAAGCTGTTGGTGTCCAAGTTGCTGGCAACGTTTTCATCGGTGACTTTAGCGATTAGTTGATCCACAAGAACATCAGAGTACTGCAAGTCAGGTGTTGCCCGCTCTCAGTGGTCAAAGAGTTTAGATTAATCCCACACTGATATGACACCTGAAGCATTATTATCTAGTTGAATCCAAGAAGAGAATGAAAAAAGAAAAAACCAAGAGGTGTAACGCATGAACCATACATTGCCAGAGTCGCCAATCAAGTCCAATAACTGCGATGTGCTCCTTTCCTGTAAATTGTGTTGTGCATCATGCAAACTTTCATGTCAAAGGAGCAAACTGATAACGCTTAATTTCAACCAAAATTTTACGGTAGGACATGTGACACCATTATAACATCATTTTTTCATATAAAATATAGGATATATGTACGACATAATAAGACAATACCAAATTATTTGTACATGCAAACATAATTATATTTTTTTTATTTAAGATTTTAGTTTAAAGTTTAAGTTTATCCCTCTTCTTTAAAAAATGGGTTTATTCCTCTTAATAATATCATTTGCAATATTCAAATCTAAGCTATCTCCTTAAAAGTAAATGAGTTTATACGTCAAGCTGGGTTGAACTAGGACTAATATTTTTTTCATGGCTTAATACAAAATTAAGTACTCCATTTATATCTTAAGAAAATTTTAGGTGAATAATATATATATATGTATATATATATATATTAAAAAGAGGTGTATTGGGTGTAACTTGACCTTAAGAAGAACCCTTTGTCCCCTTCTCACATACACATGTCAGACAATGATTTTTTTTAAATTACCATTATACCTCATACACCTGAAAGTGTAATGTTGGATACATTGGTCACCTATTTTTAGAAAAAAAAATTCTTTAAACACGTAAAGTTAACTTAAAGTAAATTTGAACACTAATTTTTACTAAGCCTTTTCTTTAAAGAAATTAAAATATTTTATGTTTGTTCAAATTTCCTAATCTTTTAAGGTGATTAAAAGTAGTATATGTTCTAAACACTCTCAACCATTTGACAATGAACGTTCAATCACCTTACTGCAGTTGTTGGTGCTCGAACCCGTGACCTCTAGGAACAACAATAATTTTTTTAACTAATGAGGTAAGTTGGTTCGTGCAAATTTGTCCTAATCTTAAATATGGGTCTAAAATTTTACTCAAATTTATTTATATCATAGATGATTAAACTAAACTTTTTTAAGAGAATATTCATTTAATATATTTTGGTTAATTAATTAATTATATACAAATTAATATATTTTTATGTTTACATTTAGTGTTGTATATATTGTATATTTAATGTTTACACAATACAGATCATATGATATACTACAAAAATAATATAGTATATTATAAATTTACATGTGTACCACTACTTTCTTATCTTTTGAATATTGAAGCTTAAGTATACTTATATTTTAATCAAAGTTTTTTTTTTTGGAGTAGAAGACCATTTGATACTGTTACCTAAACCCTTCAACTGTTAGGTTTAGACCGTAATAGTATGACCTTCCAACGGTTCTCCGAAGGTGTACGTACGATGTTAAAAGTTGGGAGTTCAAAGTGCTTTGAGCCTTTGACACGTTTACATGGTTGGGAGTCTCGAATATTAGTGAAAATGACCAAAAGTTTTTTTTCTTTCAAAATAGGTATAAAATGTTCAAATTTTTTTAATCTAAGTACTTAAAGTATTCTTTAATTAATGGCATATGTTATTCTTTTAGAATTTGGATGAAAAGGTTTGAATAATTTAAGTACCTATTTTGACATAAAATACTTTAGGCACCTATTTTGACAAAAAATGAAAACTTTATGTACTTATTTTGACCAAAAGATAGTAGGTACTTAAATAAAATGTATGTATTTTAGTTACTTGTGATATAAGCCTAGAAATTATGATCCACAGCACGTCTCCCTTCTCTAATTCTTCCTCTTTTTCCTATCTTCCTCGTACAGTTTTTCCCGGTCTCCATTATTTTTAGTCTTCCTTTGACGATACCCTTATTTTGATGGTATCTGAGTTTGTTTTTATAGTTATATCGAGGCGTATACTGGCTATGTTGGTTTTATAGGTTATTTGGGAGGTTAGTGAGTTCTACATAAGTAAAGCATCCAGGAAAATTATAACAACCGAAAGAGTAGTGCATGCAAAATTAATTCGTTAGGCTTTGGAAATTTCAGCAGCAGTAATTGTCCTCCACGCTTCAACTCTAAAGCATGTGTACTGGAATGATGACATAGATTGAACGTGTGTGACATGAAGAGGAACATACCAGTGGAAGTTGGTTTTGGTTCACCGTGTGCTTATGCTTTTCGAATTGCAACTCCATTTTCTTTAGCCTATGATTTCGGCTCAATTTCATCTATTCCGCCAAATTTCGACTTTATTTGGTTGAATCTACGTAATTCGTCCCCCATTTCCTTCCATTTTTGCAGTATGGACCCTATTTCGTGAATTCCCAACTTAGATTTGATTTCATTTAGTTTACGGGACTCGGCCTCCATTACCATGAATCTATCCAACATGGACTCCATTTTCTCAATTCCTCCGTACTTGGATTTCATTGATTCCAGTCGATTGAACTGTGCCTCCAATTGCTTTACATTCGCATTAAAAATCGTAAGTTAAAGAATCTAACATGATGCAAGTAATAAAAAACTCGTCAAACTGAAAACTACAGCTCACAAAGATACCTTAAATTTATCCAACTTGAACTCCATTTGGTCAATTCCCCCATACTTTGACTTCATTTGTCCTAATCGATTCAGCTCGGTTTCAAATAATTGGCGATCTACCTCTTTTTGTTGTATTCTACGTAACTCAGAGTTCATGTGGTTCATCTGCGACTCCATTTCATCAATCCCCCCAAATCTGGACGCAACTTCCATTACTCTATCGTACTCAGGCTTCATCCTCCTATGCTCCGTTACCTCCCTCTTCATTTGTAAATTTTAAAATAAATAAAAAAACACAAGGTTAGCGATACTATGACATTAGTAACTTGTGTATGGAAATCGGAGACGTTTCATTTACCCTAATGTCCGCTCTATACTTCTTATCCGCATCTCTTTTTTTCTGCACTCTTTCGTCCTCTTTACTGGGGATGATCTTTCGACGCTTCCTTCCAGGGCAGGCTTGAGATGGTGTCCCTTCTTTTTCGAGATGGCTAGGTGTTACCCTTGGTTCGTCTGAAGCTTCTTCAACGAGATCCCGGTGAGTTGGGTCGGGTTCAATACTCTGAGCTCCATCTGCAACGTTTCCTTCAGAGTTATGATGAGAATTGAAGCGCTGTGGCAACACGTTAGCGTTATGACTTATGAATACCTTCTCCTTCTTCTGGCGACGGCCTAGGCGTTGAATATGATTCCCAATTCGGATTCGTTTCTCTAGTTTGCGTGATAGATCCAAATCCTTGCCGGAACAGCTCCTCGTCTTCGTCTTCATCAAAAAGTTTGGAAAGAGTCAACTGGCGGATATAGCCGGGAGAATAAAAAAATCCCCAATTATCATTGGAACATTCCCCGGGAGCCAAAGAACTGGCACCCATTACAGCGTAAGGCGCTGGCGACTGAGACCTCAACCGGTGATTTGCACTAGTTAAGTCCTCCTGCTGTGTCAACTTGTTTAGATTTTCTTGCTCTGACTGCTTCGACATAGCTTCCCGAGCAGAGGCAGAATACGGAATCGGTTTGAATTCGATTCAGATGCTAAACACGAGCAAGAAGCGTGGAGGCTTGAAAGGGGAGAAGAGGAAAAATAAACAAGTAGAGAGCGCCCAAGGTTGCTGCTGAGGCCTGAGAGCCTGGAACCTATATATAGTGGTCGTTGAGATTGAGAGCTACTACTGTGGGGATTTATTTATCGGTCGCGCGGTTTTCACCCTTTACAGGGAAAAGAAGAAGAAACTCGCGCGTTAGTATGGTCCCGGGGACATCGGCCGACATGCCTGTAGCAGATAAACATTATAAATAAATTAACGATTTCATTGGACGGGCATTCCGCGAGGAATGAAAATGAAATGTCCAAAAAATAAAAATAAAAAAGGTCCGTTTTCTTATTTTTGGCTCGAGTTCCATTCAGTGGAAATATTTGGGGTTTGACCTTTCTTCAACCCATTAAACGATTGTTTTAAATTATTTGAAAAATTAAAATATAATTTCAGGTATACGAACGCTCGTAGTCTCTGACCGATCGGCTTCCTTTCGAACGAGCTCATCTTTTTGAGTGGAAAAGTCTAGGTAGTGACGTGTTCAATGTTTTCCCTTCTTTTTATTGTTTTTTTAATATAATTCTGAGTGGCAAATCACGCCATGCATTGCCGGTTGTCCAATGACCACTTCTCTCACCTTATGCCTTCGTTCGTTCGGGGTAACTTTTAATTAACGCTCGGTTAGACTTTGTCACATGGATGGATAAACTTCTTTTAAAAACTTAATATATTCGATTTTTCAAAAAATAAAACAAGTGATTCTTCTCGTACGGTTGTCTAGACATCTCCGAATATTTTATGTTAGTTCTTCATCCTTTTAAGAATTATTTTTAAAAATATATATATGAGTGTGAAAAATATTATATGAGCTTATCATATGTATTGTTATATGTATAATTAAACTTTTAAATATAATATAGACATTCGATCCATTTTTATTGTATAAATTTCATTAATTTACGCTCATTTATAGTCCAACTTTTCATATTTGTTTATTTATTTTTGATCAAGCAAAATCTTAATCATAGTTTGACAACTAGACTTTGGGAGTCGGTTTATATCCCAAAGAGCTCGAGGGTGTGGGCATCCAATTCAACTAACACGTGACGGTTGTGGCTGCGGTATGTCGCGAGTGGGATGATGACTGTGAACGAATGCAAGATTAGAAATGGTCAAAGATGTTTGACTCCGCTATTTCTTTCGTCCCCTGTAGGCTGCAACAAGAGGACTAGAAAATGATTTTATCATTTAAATTTTTTAATGCTTAATTTTTCATTTTAACCCCTAAATATATTGTTGTGGTTAAATAGAGCCAGATCAATTGAATAAGAACAATATAATAATTTCCACTCATATATATAATATTATAAATATTTATATAAAACTTATTCGAATCATTTAATTATGATGGACCAGACAAACTTATAGGCCTCAGCCTATACACTAACCAGGCAATAAGCCCAAGAGAAAGAAAACAAGGACAGATCATGAAACTAAATTTATAATCATGAACTGAATTTTCACTGGTCGTGAAAAGACACCATCAAATTATACTCATTTTTGAAATTGTATTTGAATAATTTATTAAAAAAAATCATAGATGTTGGCTTCTGAAATATTGGTCATTAAAAAATAAAAATAAAAAATCATTGACGATAGACACCTTCGTATAAATTTCCTCCTTGGAAATGAGAAGGCGGCTGAGTTTGTCAATTATTAATCCTAGAAAACAAAATCACTTGAAAGTACGAGTGTTTATGATTAGGTTAAAATTGTATTATCCGATTAAATCGAAATTTCAAATGGTTAATCGATCAATTAATTTTAAATTTAATTGATTAACGATTAATAATTTTTTTAAACTTCGACTATCTATTAATTTGGTTAAAAATAGATTAATTAATGATATTAACCAAAATTATTAAATATTTAATATATTATTTAGCTCTAAGGATGTTTAAACTTTGTCTTTAACCAAATTAATCAAATAAGTTAAAAATATTAAATATATATTATTTATAAACTATTTATAAATTTGATTAATTTGATTAACCAACCAATTAACCAAACTCTGACCAGTTAATTTTTTTGCAAAAAAATTCAGTTCGTTTAGCAGTTATAGAAAAAACATTTGATTAATAAATTTTAAATAATTCAATTCAATTGGTTAACCAAATTAACCGATTGAACACCCCTACTCGAAGGAGCAATCACAAACTTTTCTTTTGATTAATCTAGAGGTGATTATAAGTGATAATATATGTTCTAAAAACATTGAACTATTTGATAATGTACACTCAAATACGATACAGTTGTTGGAGTTTGAATCCAGAACCTTTAGAAATAATAATAATCATTTTAAACATTGAGATAACTTAATTCGTATAGAGCAACCACAAACTTATGGCAGGCGTAAAACATATACAAAATATATTACGGAGTAAAATATATCACAAGACTAATAAATAATCCTAAATACTTGAAAAACAATATCATATCACACACATTATTAACTTTTTCAAATTTAATATATAAACGTATAACACTTAAGATTCAGGAGGGAAGAAAAATACTCATCCTTGCCAAGAAAATAAGAAGCAGAGTCCGAATGACATTAGGAGGTCGATAAACAAAGCAAGAAGCAAGCCTGACCCGGAATTCTCCAAAGTAGAGAACTAAAATACAAAACAATCCAGCGATTCCACGACACCCAAACTGTTCGGTCTTTAGGAAGAGAATAACGCTAACAAAGTACTTTGGTTCTGTTGCTGCTGATAATTGAGAGGTCTCCTGAAGAGCATGATGTGTGGTTCGGGGCGATGAAATGCATAATGGACCCAACCCCGACTCTGCTGCACACCAATAGCTCGCCATTCATTCTACAAAACGACAGCAACATGAACCAAAATCAGAATTACTGCAAACCTAGAAAAACCCAAAACAACTAATAGATGGCAAAACATCATCAATACTTTAGGCCTAAAACAAAGGAAATATGGAGCCATATGGACAAGATACGAATATATAATGACTTGAAAATCTTAGTTTATTCATTGAATCATACTTCAAAACTATGGCAATTGATACAAACCTATCTGGCCCTATAAGATAGGATTCGTATATTCAAGAAATATAAAGTCATGCTAATGGGCAAGTACAGGATCAAGTCAACTACTCATGCTTCTGTGCAACACAAATTTTTGTGCTTTTGTAGTTCATTCATCCAATCCTATAGCGCAAGAATTGTCAAGAAGACAACTCCGAAGCTATGCATTTCACAAGTATGGACACAAGTAAAAATTTACTGGCTTTTCCCCAGAGAATTTACAATTCAATAGGTCCCCAAGTAAAAAAAATATTTCTGGCTTTTCCTCTGCCTCAAGGCAACAGTTTACGTTCATGAAACAATTACTTACATAAGATAAAAAATTGGTACAAAAATCGTAGTGAATGCGATGAGTTGCTCCATTGCGAGGCAGTTATACACATTTGCATAAATCATGCACACACAAACGCAGAACTCAAATTATAGTTACTAATAATCAATTTCCAGGACGGGCAGCGAGCTAAGCGAACTATTTCTTACAAAAAAACTAAATCTTAAATAAAGAGGCCAATAAAATCAACTTTTATAACATAAACAAAAATGCTTCAAAAAGACGTGTTAAGCCCGAACAAAACAAACATACTTCAGAGAGGAGGCGATTCTTGGGGAGAAGTTTGGCCACTTCAGGAGGAAGAACGACATGCCTGTACAGCAACCACCACAAAAGGGGGGAAATCAAAACATGACATTCAGAAACTTCAAACAGAATAAAGAAAAGATCAAATCCAGCAAAAATCAAGATGAAATTAAGTTCGACCTGTACTCATAAGTGTCATCGAAGTACTTCTCAGAGTATTGAATCTGACCCATTTTTCGGTTTTGCTGCAAAGGAAACAATAAAATAAATTGCCTTATTCATAGATTTCTATAATTTAGTCTCCATTCCGATTTCTAGTTTGGATCTTAAAAAATGAAACAATGAAAGCAAATAAATAAATCAAGCAGCGAAGATCATACAATCTTTTATGAAGCTTAAAAAAAATGAAATTATTTACTAAAACGAAAAGAACGGCAGTGTAGCGTACCTTAGAATGAGAGCTAAAGGAAGATGAAAGGTAGAGAACTAATTGGGATTATTATATTAATATAAAAGAGTGACAAAGGCATAATATATTTAGCGAATGGAAGGGCAAAGGGTATTAGTATTACTCGAACTTATTATATCATATGCTTGATTTATTAAGTAGAAAATTTTAAAACTTCAAATTTTAGATTCTCCCGCTAATTTAGATCAGCAATATTATTGGGGATAAATAGTTATTCAAAAAGGTCAAATATTCGAATTTATTTTGATAGTATTTGCCGTTCAAACTATATCTCTACCTCCACCCGTAAAAAATTATGAATAAGCAAATAAATATGGGATTTTAATATTCTGTTGTGCAACAATAATTTCTCCAAGAAAATCAAGAATTCGTCCGAGTTGGTGAAAATACAAGGCGGCCCCCGCCAATCACCATGGTGACACAGGCGGAGGAAGTGAGCACTGGCAGCAAAAGGCCATGAACAATTCCAAGCATCGATCAAGATGGAGAAAAAGCTCCTGAAGAGATACAATCACAAATTATCCATTCTTTACAGGGATGTTCAACAGTGCAACAAGAATCGAAGTTGAAGATGTTGAATCGGATGAAGAAAGTGATCCTGAAATTGACCACATTCCTACAATCAAGATTGACAAATAAGTTAAATAAAAATCCGAAGACCATAGAGGAAAGCTCTCATAATAAAACTATTGGGAAAATCAATTGCTTACAAGACTTTAATTAGCAGGAATACTGCTTTATGGAAACTAAAAAGTGACTTTGATTATATTGATTTGGGGAACGACTACTATGCCATCAAATGGATAGAGTGAAGGTATTGATAGAAGGGCCATGGAAGATTATGGACCACTATTTGACGGTTCAAAAATGAAAACCAAATTTCTTATCTGAAAAGAAAAACGTTTCTTCAACAGCGGTTTGGGTACATATCCCGGGCTTACCAATCGAATACTTTGATGAAAGTGTGTTTGTTAAGATCGGGAAAGCAATTGGAACACCTATAAAGTTGGATTATAGAATGTGTTGAAATTGCACTCTATATGTTTCTATTGTGGTCTAGACGGGCACAAAACGGAGCAATGCCCGGTGAGAATTATCGATGTGGGTCAACAAGAAAAAAAATCAAGAGGAACAACCTACTGCAGAATCTCAAAATCCTTATAACAACTCTAACTCTGAAAACCAAAAAGAAGAAAAGTAATAGCCCATGGATGTTGGTGCAAAGAAGACAAAAAGGGTTAAAAGGATACCCAAAAATCACAAACAAAAATAATCAAAACCACAAATATAAAATTAAGTTTCAAGCCCTGGACGATGAAATAGAAAACCCAAAGAATGGAAGAGAGGAAGATGAGATCAACAGGGATGCAAAGGAAGTTCAAAATACAACCCGTAATACACCAAGAGTTGAAGGGAAAGAGGCCCAAAATTATAAACATATAAGAAGAGGAGGAAAAGGAAAATCGAAAATGAATATGAACATAGGGGGCACTATATATGGCACTAGTAAAGACTTTGATCTGAAGAATAGAGAATGGAACTCTGTGAGTAAAGCTGAAATTAGTAAGATCCCGAATATAACAGAGGGCATGAATCCTGAGATCAGACAAAATAGAATTGATGAGATGGAAGTTGAAAGGCAACAAGAAATAAATGGTGAAAAAATTAATCAACATCAAAGTTCGAAGGTTGTAGTGTTGACACCTCCACAAGCAATGAAAGAGTAAAAGAACATGAAAACATTATGTTTTCCCCATAACCTCCAGAGATTCAGGAAATACAAAACTACAACACCGCGATCCAATGAAGGTTATATCATGGAATTGTTGAGGAGTGGAAAATTGAGAGTTCACCAGAAATTGCAAAGAACTTCTGATTTGTGAAAATCTTGAGGTTTTTTGTTTAATGGAAATTAAAGTTGGAAATGGTATGGGTGATGTCATCAGAAGAAAATTGAGATTTGAGAACAACTTTGAAGTTCCTACCCAAGGTATGCGTAGGGGTATTATTGTTTTATGGAAATCGAGTATGACAAATACGAAAGTTCTCTACAACACAAATCAATTTTTACCAGGAAGACATACTTCTGACAACATTCATGTTGTGCAGGAAGCTGTTTCACTCTCTCAAATCTTTAAGGATGGAAAGAGGTCGTGATCATGAAGATAGACCTACAGAAGACCTATGATAAAGTAAATTGGCAATTCCTAAAGGAGACATTGGAAACTTTTCATCTGTCTGAGAGACTAATTGAGTTGATAATATTCTGTATCAAAAATAGCTCGATCGAACCATTATGGAATGACGAGAAAACAAAGTGTTTCAAACCATAGCAAGGACTCAGACAGGGAGATCCCTTATCACCCTACTTGTTTATTTTAGTTATGAACCAATTATCACATATTATTCTCTAAAAAATTGAAAGAAAATAATGGAAACTATCAAACTTTCAAAATGGGGTACTAATCTTAGCTAATTTTTTTGCAGATGATTTATTATTATATTTTTTTAGGCCTCAAGGGAGCAAGTTATAGAGGTGAAAAGTTACTTACGGATCTTTAGTAATACTTCTGGATTAGAGATCAACCTTTAGAAGTCGAAATTATTTGTTTCAACAAACATCAACACTAATATGACTTACCAGATTAGTCAATTTAGTGGCATCCCTAGAACCGATAACTTGGGAGTGTATTTGGGGGTCCCTATTCTAAAAAAAGGGGAAATAACAACACTTATGCTCTGATTGAGAATGATGGTTGGATGAAAGGGTAAGGTTCTATAGTTAGCGGGCATAAAACACTGATTCAAGCCGTGATTGCTGCTATACTCATTCATACCACGCAGACTGTTACGCTCCCCGTTTCAACATGCAACACATTGGATAAATTGAACAGTAATTTCTTATGGGGATGAAGTAAAAAATTTGATCATAAGCACCTTGTTAACTGGGACACTGTGCAGACCCAAATATGCATGTGGAATTGGGTTAAGAAAGACAAAAGATATGAACTTAGCCCTGCTAGATAAAAATGGCTGGATGATGATTGAGGAGAAAGATAGTCTTTGGTGTAAAATCTTCAGTGAAAAATATCTGAAGGGAGAAAAAATTTTAGAAACAAAATTTCAAGGAAAATGTTATGCTACTTGGAGAGGCATCATGAATACCAAGGACTTTATAAGAAAAGATTGTAAACACCAAATCAAGTCGGGAGAAAATAGTAAGTTCTAGAAGGATTGATGGATAGATGACACCCCATTGAGGTATAAAGTCCCAGGAAGAGAGGAAGATGACACCAAAGTAGCCGAGTTATATAAATGACGATCATCATGGAATATTCTTGTGTTGAAGAGCTTACTTCCTGAAGATCGATTTAATCAAATTAGAAGTGTACCTCTACGGGGAATGGACACTGGAAATTCTGAAGACATAATTCTCTGGGGTTTTGCTAAAGATGGAAACTTTTAAGTAAAATTAACAAATAAAGCAATAGTAAACGCAAATCTTTCGAGCCAACAGATAAATGATCTGGATTGGATTTGGAAAGTTAATACTACTGAAAGAATAAGAGTATTTATCTGGCTCACTATTCTGAATATACTAAACACGAACGAAATAAGGGTAAAAAAGAAGATGACTCAAGAAAACCAGTGTAAACATTGTGATGCAAGGGGATCCGAGACAGATGATGCTGAGCTGTCAGATTGCACGTTGATGGCGCTGAGATACCATGAGTTGGCAGATCAACGCAAAGGCGGGAATTGATTGTGACATGTTCTTCATTGGTGTCGTTTTGAGTATGTTTCAGTCTTTTGGCCTTAACTTTGGCTACAGATGTCAGAATCGCGCATAAGACCCCAATCCGGAAAGCTCTTTTCGATGCGCACACTCTCCACATTGAGCTACGCTCCATGTGACCTTTTTTTCAACCTCAAATTCTTCCGTTTTCCCCTCCAAGTCATTAGATTTAGATATTTTTTTACTATTTATGGTAATATTTCGATTGTTAATTAGGAAGTCAATTTAAATCCGATTTAGGCCGGATTTTTGGGAGATTGCTTATTTTATTTCGAATTTCAATTTAGAGTGATTTTCGGGATTTTGCTATTTTTGGCAAAATTCGAATAAAGACGATTTTTGGCTATAACAGTTCGGCTTGTGGACTGCTTTTTGGCATTGTTTGATTTTATAATATTTTATTAAACCCTAGAGACTTTTTTCTCTGGTTTTTGGGCGAATTTTCTCTTGTGAATCGTCTGTCGGAGCTAGCCTACAGGATAATCACTATTCTGTCTGGCGTCAGTTGGTGTCAGAGCTTCAACATCTTCTTGGGAAATTTCACCAGTTTCAATGGCTGGATGTCGTGGTCGTCGTGAGCAGGTTCCGAATGAGGAAGCCCAACGCCGTGATCGCAGCGTTCAGGATGTGATGATTGCGGATTTGCAGAGGCAAGTCGCAGAATTAACCCAGCGCCTGGCGGCGCAGGATTTCGAGGATCGTGAGGCCTCTGATCACGATACCAATTCCACTTTCGAAAACCCATATCACAATCGCGCAAGATTCCGGGAGCACCGTGGTCGGGAGGAGCGTCATGGAGGCCTCGATTTTCGGGTCGATCTCCCTGAGTTTTCTGATACGTTACAGGCCGAGGGATTCGTGGATTGGATTAATGAAGTGGAGCGTATTTTTGAATATAAGGAAGTCCCCGATCGTGTGAAAGTGAAACTGATCGCCATCAAACTCAAGGGCAGAGCATCTGCGTGGTGGGAACAGTTACG